AGGTAAGCCCGTTCACACTGTACCAACTCGACGTCGTCGTTCACGTGCTCGCCTCTCCGTCTGTATCTCTGTGTTCGTTCTTCACAGCCGTCGAACATCCCCATGTTCAACTACTTGGTCACGCGAAAAATTCTCTCGAGCAAACTTAGCCAAGCGTGATCGAACACAGAGAGATATCAGAGCTAGACGTTGAACAGTGAGAAAGTCAAAGCTATAAAGAGAGGCGAGCATGAGTTAGAGCCGCGTGATACAGATAGGAAGCTAAACGTAGCCAGGCTACTCTAATCGGTCCTATTCAAGCCTTGCTCAATCATTCAATTCACGTTCACGTGTGCCCGTGGATATGTCGCGCGAGATACTCGCTCCTGGGTGTCGCGCGAAATCTCTATCGAAATTCGTCACATTTTCCAGTCGCACGTGTCGCCACGGAGTCGGAGTGGAAACACGGGCCGGAGTATATTTTCCAAGTTCAAGTGAACTCCACCGCTATCCCCGCAGAAGGTAGCTCCATGAGCATCCGGCTGAATGTCGCGTCGAAGCTCGTGTGCCAGCCCAAGTCGTACCACGTGTTCACCTGCCACTTTCGCGACTCGAAGGCGGACAGTTACACGACGGAGAGCTTGGACCCGTGGTTCCAGGAGACGCCTGTTAGCCGCGTGTCGAGGCAGGAGGCGTACGAGATCAATCAGGACCAGTTCGAGATGAAGTTCGGGAAACAGGGACTGGAGAGTCTGGTGGTGAACGAGAATATACAGCCGAGAGAGTTGGATATGATACGCGTGATCGTTGGGCAGCTGAACATAGGTATGGCGTTCGTGAGCCACCATCGGTCGCAGTTCCATCTGATGGAGAACTTCACTCAGGGTGAGTGCGCGACGATCTTCACCGTGCATCGGAACATCGTCGGGCTACCTATGCACGTGAAACGTAACTACGTTCTGATGCCGGTGATCCCGCTGAGGGACGGCGAGGTGTTGCAGATCAGGAAGATGAGGAATCTTCATATGTGCACGCACAAGGTGCCGTATTTCTTTGGAAGCGCGGAACGAATGAGCGAATATAGCGACGTGGTGTCTACCATTGTGAGTATTTATCGGGATCGATTTATAGCGGACTATTGCAAAAGTTCGTGCCCGCTTCACAGCACAGGCGGTGTATCTTTCGATGGCAATGTAACGTTACGCTAAGAGAAACATCTGCGCCGAAGTGGACGAGGTTCTCGTCACCTCTGAAAATCGGGCACGAACTTTTGCAATGATCCAATATATTCTGTGTTCGTAGTATCGTACAGGTTACCTAATTATCTGCTCCAGTTGCGGCGGTACGACGAACATATTTAACCCCTTGCAATCGAGCGGCGACTGAGAAGCGACATTAAATAATCGTCACTTGGTGAATAATTGATCGCATCAGAGAGCAGATCTATGGGATCTCTATAAAGATTGCCACAGTGAAGTAGAGAATACGTTGAATATTTCAATGAAATAGTATACTTTACTTCTACGTCAGTTTGAAAATATTTCAAAGATCCGACTTGCACACTTTCCTACAGCAAAATCACCTCCGAGTGCAAAGGGTTAAAGGGCGAATAAGACGAGGGAAATGGCAAAAATGAAGGGAAGTTTCGAAGTTGATTTGAAATTTTCGTGTCAAAGGTCATTGTTACGCATATTTGCCACGGCATATAGCAGAAAAAATAGGTAAATTTGGGTAAAGAAACGTAGGTAATCTTGAGAAAAATAGGAAAAAATTTATTCTTCCATATTATCGACCCTTTGAAACCATTTTAATCGTGTATAAAAATTTTCTCATACTTTTACGTGGCCCACCTTGTATATCGATATGCAACAGAGTATACAAATTGTCTATTCCAATATATACACATATATATATATAAGATGATGCATGTAAATTGTGACAGTGTTTCAAAAATGTTATTAGGCAAAATTGAAATATTTCAGGATGCACATTTGCAAATTTATAATACAGAGTGGGGTCGAAAGTATTATGCAACTGGACAGGAGGTGATTCTTTATGCAAAAATAAATAAAAAATGTTAAATAAAATTTTTTCATCCGAGGCTTAGTTTTCGAGAAAATCAGCTTTCAAATTCTGTACACGTCTGCACTTATATACAGGGTGTCCCAGTATTAATGGTACAACTATGGAGGGGGTGATTCTACATGAGAAAATAAGTCGAAAGTAATGAGTAAATTTTTTTCATTCGAGGTTTCGATGAACGGATCTCGATATGGACCATATGCCTTAGGTTTATGAGTAATAATAAAGCGTGTAATTATCAAGATTTACTTTATTAATGCAAAAATTGCTGAAAATGCTGGCCACCGTACACCGAACGACATAGTTGAGTGCGTGCGTACTCGAAGAAAATTTAAAGTCGATTGTCTCGAAAACGAAGCCTCGAATGAAAAAAATTTATTCATTATTTTCAACTTATTTTCTCACATAGAATCACCCCTGTCCACGGTTGTACCATCAATACTGGGACACCCTGTATATACCGTGTGTCGCAAAACATAGAATGTGTATGGTGTTTGTATACAATATCTACGCGATTTTTATGAATCCTTTCCTAAAAAAAAAAGAAGTTTACTTTGTCTCAAAATAAAACAGGAATAATTTTGTTGAATATGAACTTTATTTACTGCTATAAGTAGTAGGGGAGAGTCGTGCAGTACCGGCCAGCGTACAGTACCGGCCAAAGCTAGATCTCGCTTATACTTTAAGCGCCTGTTAGAATATTAACAGGCGTATATGGCGTCTAAGTTATACTTTAGAACCTGTTAGTTGACTGCACTATTGATGGAAAAACAAATGAATACTATAGCCCTGAGCAACGTATTCCGGCGACGTTCTTTTTTCTTCGGTATTACCAGAGTTCTGAAACGTTTAACGTTTACGTTGGTGTTCCGTACGACAAAAGTTAGTTTTCATAGCTGCAACGGTTGGGCTCACGTGGAGTGTACGGATCAAGAAAATATCGATGCCTAAATAAAAGTTCTGTTCTGTTTCTAAACGATTTTTACTAACATCGTTTATTACTTAGACCTTAAAACCTACCAACTAAGTAGCTGCAAATTACAACTTTTTTATTTCTACCAATTATTTATCTTTATGAGAAAATTTAAGGAAAACCATGTGTCCCCTTTTATCAAGCACCCTTTGTACTACAAATTACTTTTTTCATATTTCATTTTTACCAACGTTATAAAAACTTAGAGTGGCCGGTACTGCACGACTCTCCCCTATACGTACCCAAAGGACCTTGAAAAAAACCTAATGTTCTTGAAAACTAAGCCTTGAATGGAAAAATTTTATTCGACATTTTTCCTTCATTTTCGCACGAAGAATCTCCTCCTGCCTGCTGGCGCGATACCTTCACCCTGTATATTACAGACATTAGTGTATTAATAGAATATTTTTAATAATGGCCGAGTAACATTTCTCGCACATTTCTTAAAAACGTGTTCAATGGAAATTTGTCGAAACATGATTCGTCCTTTTCAAAATTACAGAGTTCGTCGGAGAGTCTCATCATCGTCACGTCCACGGAATTTATCACGGGAACGATAAACGTGGTAACGACTAACAAGATATCAGAACGGATAGCGACCACCTTGTACGAGAATATAAACTTGAAGTTAGAATCGATCCTGCCGGCGGAGAGCGAACCGTTGGAGGTGAAGGATCCGGAGCCGGCTAGCATGTTCATCGGAAGATGGCTGAGGGAGAGCTCGTTGGAGGAGGACCAGTCGACAGAGGAGTATCCATCGATGGAAGAGGATTTGTCGATGGAAGGTTTAATCTCTCGTCGTAAGAAAGATGTTTAAATACACTATGGCAACATCGGTGATATGCAGAGAGAGAGAGAGAGAGAGAGAGAGAGAGAGTGAGAGAGAGAGTGAGAGAGAGGGAGAGACGTTTCGATCGATATTTATATACGCGTTCTCGTTCAAGTGGCCAGAACGACTAATAGCGTTCACGTATCACTATTGTTGTAAATAGTGTGCAATTGTATTTGCCATACGATTCTGTAAATAATAAAGAAATCTCCCGTTTGTATACATAAATCGTTCGTTTCTATTCGTTGACACGGTTCCGTTCAACTCCGTCGATAATTTGAACAAATTGAATTAGTACCTGTATAATTAGCGATCGTAATTATTAGGACACCCTTTATGTTCATGCGGACATTATAGGATTTTCAATCCTTGACTACAGACATTTGTTTTTGAGATGTTAGAGTAGAGGCGTAATTTCTCAGACTACTTTGGCAAATTTTATTTGTTAAATCACTGTATTGTAAAAATAAATTCAACGTAAATATTTTATTATTATACAGGCTGAGCCATGTAAA